TTTGTTGAATCTGACGTGACATGTTCGTATGAACCCTTTGTACGAACAAAAGTAAGAGAAATTTAGGATAAGAATTCAAACATATTCTTGCATGAGGCCCATTGTTCTACTGAGAGAAAGATATTCAGCTGAAAATCTTCCCAGGAGTGGGCCGATCAACTAACTCACCCTGAAGGTTAGACTGTGTAATGATCAGAGAAAGGAGCTCCATCTGGTTTCAGTCAGTCAATCAGTCTCTTCAGGCCTCAGTTAGCAGGTCAAAGGTTAAAGGTCATGCCAGGACAAGTCTGTTTTGTTTAAAAAGAGAACAGGAATAAACCTCTCCTCTATAAAAAACACACAGGCAGCACCCCAACCAATCACAGCAGATATGCACAATCAGCTCCTCCCTGCCATCAGCACGGTGGAGGAGGGCTGATGGTTTGGGCTCCTCACAGTCTCTGAGTGGTCCATAACTTCCTCTGTAGATCAAAGGGTTCTAGATCTGAGTCCATCTGTCASACAGCTGAAGTTTGGACCAAACTGGGTCCAACAGAACAGAACCATGATCCCAAACCCAGCAGCTGATGTACAACAGAAYGGGTCAAAAACAAAAGAACCAAGGTGCTGCAACAGTCCAGAGTCCAGAACCTGGACCTGACTGAAACCTTATGGTGGACCTTCATGAGCTGAATGAACTGAAGAAACACTGGGATGAAGAATGGAACAAAATACTGATGAAGTTCTACAGAAAACCGCTAGTTCTGCTGCTAAAAGTGGTTTTACAAGGTGCTGGATCARGAGCTGTACCATTTTTTCATTCATAGATTTTAGTTTTGGCTTCATATTAGTTTAATAAAGAAAGACACAAAGAGATCTGTTGTACGTTTTTGTTTATCTGTGTTAGATTGGAATGATTGTAGAACCTGTTAAAGACCAGATAATGATTAATTAAAACAGTGGGACTTTTATTTTCCATGACAGTAATGTTAAGAAAGCAAAGTGCAGAGGGTTAATCCAAAAAGCCTGGTTTACRACTTCTCCATATATGGATTAGACTGCAGTGCTTGTATAAAGGTGGTCAGTGAACTCCAACAGACATTTTGCAAACTCTTGAGCAATCTGCCGTTGCGTTCAGCTGCGAATGTGAACTAAGCTGCTCCTTGTTACAAGCTAAAAGCGTAAAAGTAAAAGCATGGTCAGAAAATCAATTTCAGAAAGTGTGACTTCCTTCAGAGAGGCGTTTATCTGCTGGTTCTCTGTATCAAAATTGACCTGATTCAGTTTGTAAGAAGCTTGCACTCACAGAATGTCTGCACACCAGAGAAAACCAGATAAAACACATTATGGATGTGATGTTACTGTTGAATGATCCAAGCCATCAGCACATGAGCTTATTATCATAGTGACATCATTATAATGAGGTTCTGAAAAAAGYGTTGTCTTGAATAATTCCTTAGTTTTAGTCATTAATATGTTGTAAAATCTGACTGATTTTAGTCTAAAATAACCAACTTATTTTATAAATACAATAATGTCCAACTGCAGACAGAAAAATAAATCTGACATTGCCTAATTACAGTTTTAAACTCTCAGATTCTGATAAACCAAGCYATAAATGACCAAATAAATATGTATTATTAAAATAACTCCTCTACTGTCACTGTAATCATCACATTTTAACTTTTTGAATAATTTTTAAATTATTTCCTTCATTTTTCAGTCTTTAGTTTTTCTTGGTGAGCATCAGCTCTTTGTGGTCAAACATTAATAAACACAAACATGACTGTGTTCTTTAATGGCAGCACCGAGGAAAAGAGAAAAAACAAGCTAGTGGATTCAGGTTGTAGGAACCAGCTGCTCAGTCACAATAAAMTCAAACTAGTTAGCTAACTTAGCTTTTAGCTCCATTTAGTGAATTAAAATACAGGAAGTGGAGAAAACTGCGACAGTTATAGCTCGACACACTGGACTAAAGTTAAAACATTATATATTACTTGAAGAATAATACTTACCCACATGTACARCAGAAAGGAGACCAAAAAACACGACCAGCAGCAGAACCAGTCGATCGGGTCGATCCACTGATGTCAACTTCCGGAACCTAGAGGTAAACTTCCGGTTACAGTTTTCTTCACAATAAAAGCATAATCACCGAACGTTTTTCTTGTAAGCACGTGAAAGTGTCCAAATATCTATAACAATAAAGAACAATTAAAAAATAAGAATAACAATTCGGAGGTGATGATTAATATTGTTTCAAGTCAAGTTTTTGTATGTATGTATAGAAGTAAAAGCAGCACATGCCGATTTATAAACATAGGACAGGACTGACTAAAATTATTAAGCAATAGTTTAGATAAGGCCTTTTGAACAAGCAGCCCTTGGGATGAAGGTGTTTTTTTTTTTTTTTTTTTAGAAAAGTGGTCAGAACCCCAAGAACAATTTTTTACTGAATATAATATGAATATAACTCTTCAAAACAATTAATTTATTGAATGCAATTTCCTAAACTTTTACATTACAGCCAGTTTCAGAATGTCATGGCTAGTGTCCCTTGCAGCAGCAGCTTGCTGTAGCACTTCCAGTGAAGTAAAATGAAGTGTGGGATACATTTCTGCTGTAATTTGAAGCTAATTAAAGCTAAACTATATAGTGCTGCCATGGAACCTTTTTTTAGATTGGAGTTAATTTAGGACAGCTTTGTTTTTGTCCCATAAACTAGTCTTTAGCTCGTCATCAGTCCCATCAGAATGAAGACTCGTGTTTGAACTGACACTATTTCAACACTGTCTTGTTTTTACGGTCTCACAGTTTATTGTGACACAAAGTATAGGACTGACTTTGTCATCAGATATCACAAAATATTTTGTTTTGCTTTTATAATTTAAATTTTTTTCTTGTTGTTTGAACCACATGCTTTAAAATGYGCAYAGTCTGCTTTATGTACATGSTGTTCTATTTCKTGTAAGCTCCGCCCCCTAAGGCTATCGCTGATGGGTATCCGTCACGCCCTGCGCACATTCTGCAGAACCAATAGTCYACGCCCAYGTACYGYGTGGCCCCCCTCGGTCCGCATAAAAGCCASCCGGACCGGTGCTCTACTCCCTCTTTTTCTTCAGCTTTGTGATCAGTGTTCTACGCCAATCCGAACTTCGAAGAAATGCCTGATCAAGCGAGGACTTGCCCTGTCTGTGTCACTGGATACATGCTGTCGACCGACCTGCATGTGGTGTGTGAGGGMTGGTGCCGACCATGYCAACCAGGCWCTGACGGCGGAGGCCACATGCCTGGCATGCAGGAAGCTGTCGGTGGAGAAGAGGCAGCGGCGGGTTGACTTCTTCACTGACCAGGATGAGGGGTTCGAGCTTTTTGACCCTGTCCCGCTCGACCAACTCATTGACTTTGGACTGGAGTCAGATGACCCCGTTTCAGAGGGCGAAGGCGACAGTGGCGGCCCRGTTCACCCCTCCCAGGCAGGAGGGCTGGACTCGGGCTCATGAGGTGAGGAGGAATCAAGGGAGCTGGGTCTTCCTCGCTCCTCTTCCATGCCACTACCGTCCATCGGGGCTCTTGTGAGTGTCCTCCCGGACATCATTCAGCAGGCAGTGGATRCCAAGGGACTGGCGGTTCCTAAGGTGCTGGCGCCCCCACCAGATGGACTGGCAGGACAGTTTGCAYCACCATTTGCTGGCCCCCGGGTTGCGGTTTGGCYGCAWTTCCCCATGGTTCAGTCGTACCTKGCRTCTGCCARCAGAGACCCCACYAGYGCCGRTGTCRTCCTGCGTGGAYGTGACCAAGGTGGAGGGGATGACCGATTCTAGTTTTCCGCCGGTTTCAGGACTGGAACCTGYGCTTTCCATGGTCTTCGGCGTCGARAYGGTACRGTCAGCCGGRCGGCGACCCTACCCTCACARCATGGCAGACMAGCAGCTCGTCAACTGGACCSACCRGTCCCACCAATGTGTGGCACAGGCTRCAACGAACAACATCGCTCTCCTGGCCTTCAACATCTCTAAGAGAGCGGCGGAGWGCGAGGCATGGCAGGAAAAGAAGGTGGAGCTCTGTGCAGCGGCCGACACGATTTTAAATCTTTGCGCCGCTCAGGCCGTGTGTGCGTYCCGCATCATGGCGTGGATGAATCYGCTACAGAGGCAGATGTGGCTGCGTCTCGCCCCTTCCATCTGATGCYGGAGGGCCCCGTCAACCCCGAMGGGCTCTTTGGGCACCAGTACCAGTGCCTGTTGGAGCATCTCAACACGACGCAGGCAGTGCAGGAACAGTTCCGGCAGCAGTCGCGTTCACGACCAGCTCACCAACAAGCTTCCTCATCCGGCCCTTGGAGGGATCGCCGGGCTCAGAGGCAGCAGACTCAGTGCGCACCAACAGAGACTGCCCCCTGCTCGTCTCCTGCTCYGGCACCAGCAGCGGCGCCTAAGAGCATCACAAGCTCTTACAGCTCCAGGATCATTACTCTGGATGGGTTCTGTCCTCCCCYTCACAGTTCTGAGGAGGAAGCAGTCTCTCACCTGCTGTGCCCYRTGCGCACGCTCTCGTGTTATGTGATGCGCACGGCAGAGATAAGGCGCTCTCAGTGTCTATTTGTTCATTACAGAGAGCAGTCTGCAGGACAACCTCTGTCTTCTCAAAGATTGTCATATTGRATTTGCGAGGCTATTTYGCAGGCTTACAYCTYRTCAGGTCTGCAGCCYCCAGCTGTACTGTCAGCTCAYTCCACAAGGGGGATCTCTTCTTCCTCTGCTCTGTACAGCRGAATGKCAATTCAGGAGATCTGCTCTGCAGCTTCCTGGTCATCCCCTTRTCCTTTCATCCATTTTTATCTGCATGAAGTTTCGGGCTCTTCTCTGACTCACTCTGTTCTCAGGACCTTGTCAGAGTAGTGTATTTGGTCTAAATTTGTTAGACAAAAGAATTACTTCTGTGCTTGAAGTGGTACTGCACGTACGGTGCTTTGTCTCTTCTTCACATCATCTAGATCATGTGATGGGCACGGGGACTTATGCAAGTTTTCTTGTTCAATGTGTGAATCAGCTGTTGTCATTGCCCCCTGTTTATGCAGAAACATCACAAGAGTTTTKGGCGGAAGCTTCACGAGTCTGTTAAGCCGGTGATGCGCAGACTACATTGGGCTCCTCCTCTACACCCATCAGCGATAGCCTTAGAGGGCAGAGCTTACACGAAATAGAACGTTGGTTACATATTGTAACCCCAGATTCTACAAGTGTAAGCGCAGCCCTCTAGGAATCGGGGCCTCACCTGCTTCTGTAGCTGAAAAAAAGCTATCGGGAGTAGAGCATCGGTCCGGCCCGTTTTTATGTGGACCGAGGTGGGGCCACATGGTACGTGGGCGTAGACTATTGGTTCTTCAGAATGCTTGTGGGGCGCGAGGGATATCATCAGCGATAGCCATAGAGGGCTGCACTTACACTCACAGAATCTGGGGTTATAATACGTAACCAATGTTCACTTGTTTCCTGTTTTTGTTGTATTTATGCAGTTATAGCACCACACATGGGCCTGGCAAAGTTACTACAGCTTTACATTTTGTGAGCATTTGTAGAAGGTGTGTCATGTAAATGAGAATATTTTCAGAAACAAGATAATAAGATAATGTTGGAAAATTGTTTCAGACCTGAGTTAGATATTCAGACAGTCAGTTATTTTTACAACTTGGAACTGGAAAATACTGACTTTGGAGTAAAATGAAAACAATATAATGTCTATTTTTTGAAAAGGAGGCCACACAAAGAGCTGTCTTCAACACATAAGACAATTGTTCATAACCTATTAACAGAAGCATTTTTTTTTCAAAAGAACTCAACTATCAGTGGGAGAAAACAGGAAATTACTGTTTGCCTGACAGATGCCTGACTGCGCCTGAAAATTTAATCTAATTTCTCATTTAACTGCAGTGTCTGCTTCAGCTCTCTGTGGATGGCTGGCAGCTCACCAGGCAGAAATATTACATTGATAAAGTACTCTCTAGTCTGTACTATTCTTATTTTATTTTTAAATAAAAAAATTGTTTATTTAAAAAAACTATTCACAGCACAGGAGCTGCTCACATGAACAAAATGTAAAATTGCTTTGACTACTTAGCAGGCAGTTTACTCTGGTAATTTGACTACAATCTGGTAAAAACAGTTCAAAAACCTGCCTCTCTGATGGTATGGGAGTGCATTAGTGCATCTGGCATGGCCACTCACACATATGGAAAGACTCTATTGATGCAAAGAGGT